GGTAGATTTGAGAGCAACATGCAATTCAGGTCAACATATATAAAACCTTGTTACGGTCAAAAAGTTATACACGTTTTCAAACAACTCCAAAGTGCACAACTTTGATTTTTGGTTGGGAATTACTCTGTTGACCGTCATCTGATTCACCTCGCCTTACTGGCGTAAAATCTTTTAAGTAATCTTCGTTTGGATGACATAGAGGTAAACTATCCGCTAATTCCTTTTGAGGATTAGTTAAATGAGGAGGAGGAGGCGGCCTCACTGGTCTTTTTACTTCGGGAACGATAAAGGCGGTTACAGTGTCGGAAAATTTAACCTTTGCTTGGTGCTTCTTTCCTCCTGGAAAACATCCAGAGGGTGGTGCAGTAGTACTTACTGAAGAACCACAAGTATTAGTGTTGACACTGGGTAAAGAAAAGTTTGTGATAGGTAAAGGAGGTGTGGATATGTGGCGCGGAACTGGTGAATTTCGTATATCAGAAATTGGAACAGACGGAGCACGGAAGTAAGGTCTTTGGGGCAAACTTTTCATTGCAGAATTAAAGTTAAAGGGGGAAAAGTTAAGTCGATTTAAAGGAGGTGTAGTTATGGTCCGATTAACATTTCCATAAGGGGGAGGAAATGCAGAAGAGGAGTTAATGCCACTAAGTGTCGGAACACGATTAGCAAGGGTTGGAGAGGGTACTGAAGGCGGAGGAACAGGTCGCACTATCTGTGGAGATGCAGGTCTTAATGCTTGTTGTGACACAGGCCGTGTAAGAGGCGAAAAATGTTGTTGAGTTGGAAGAATAGGATTATTTTGTAAGATGCGTTGATTTTGAATAGGCGGCGGTACTTTAGGAAAGGGCGGCTTTTGTAAAACGTCCTGTTTGGGGACGTCCACATTTTGCCGCAATGAATTGGCATAAGTTTGGGGATTAGCATTATTGAAATTTGTAGAGAGAAAATTATCATTTGTGGTAATAAGGGGCCCATCAGTTCGTGGCGGATTATTATCTTCAAAATGTGTAGTTGTGTCTGTTGAAATAGAATCGGCTTCTTCATCGCTACAAATGGAGCCCGATTTTGAACACTGAGAACATGAAGATCTCGAACAGCAAGATCCTAAAAAATGACTTCATAGATTTGTTTCAGAACAATGTTAATAATTTTCAATTACCTTCGCTTGAATATTCACTCATTAAGGCTGATGCTTGAGCTCGTGCTGCTGCTGCCATTTCTCGTTCACCAATTCGAACAGCACAGTAATAAAGGTCCATAAATAAGTCATGGTGTCCTATATCAACGGCCAAAAGGAATGCTGTCTCATACATTCCATAACGTACTAATTGATGAAAGTATCTTCTGGTGAGAATTCTGACCTAAGGAAAAATAAACGCGATTCTATTACTTTTATTTTGCTTCCTTATTAAATCATGTAAGTAGACATGTATTTAACGGAAATAAGCTTTGGGTGATATTAACTATAAACATTAAATAACATATAATATATAGAATATAAAATAAATTTAAAATGGATTAGTTATGTCATATAATTCAAGTTACTATATTTATAATGCTTCTGTAAATGTTATTTTACCTGATATCCATATCTGCGTTTGATTTCTGCACTCAAAAGGACCGGAGGACAATGAAAGCTACCCAGAGCGTTTTGTAGATGACGGGCATTTTCTTCAGTGAGCGGTAATTTCGTTAAATAAGCTATGATACGTTGTAAAATAAAAAAAACTTCATCACTCCAATCCACGTTCAATAATAAAGCAATAGCTTTATCCACTTTCTCTGCAGACAAATAATACTGAACTAACGAAGGCAAACTCAGTGCTCTTTCGACGTGCGTTATAACAACAACAGGTCCATATTCAAACACTACTACTAAACCATTCGGTCCTCTGTATAAATTCTCCACAATCATTTGATTTTTAAAATAAATCGACAAATCAACTAATCCAATTGCAGTGCAGTCTTCTCCAATAAGTTGGGACTTGATACAGTTTAAAGCTACATCATAGTATTGTAGCTGACCCTTTTCATTAGAGATTGCCACTGTAACTCCTGCAATGTGCCATATGGCAAAAGTTGGGATAAAGGAGGCTTTTGCAATTCTTGTGGTTCCTCTGCTACGATTTAGAATTGCTATGGAGGAATCTATACATCCTAAAAACACATATTTTTCATCTTGGCTCAATACGCAGCAACTTATTTGAGTCTGTAGAGGTACTAAAGTTACACAGGTACGTTTCAGATTATGATCAACTAGTTTAAAAGTTCCAACTTCAATGGACACAGCACCTAAAAGGAATTATATAAGCATGAAATTATTTTTAAGTTAATTTAGCATTTAACATTAGATTATGTTTTGATTTTGAGGAAAGCAGGCTATAAAAATAAAGTTTAGAAAAAAATAAGAAGGGCACTTATTTCCTATAATATGCAGACAAAAATTAATGAGGAGTTTCATCAATATTAAAAGCAGTTCCAAAACAGTGTCATATCTAGGAGATTTCATAGTAAATTTCATATTTCTTCTGTAACTAGGCCAGAGTAAAATAAAATAGTATTTTTATATACCTTTTTGTGAAACAATTTGCTCAATTACTATTAATGTCTCATTGTTTGCTTTACTAATTATAACATCCTGAGGATCTCCTTCAGTCCTTTTAGAAGCTAAAAGCTCTGGTCCTTTTGCACCAATTAAATAAAAATGTATATTTCCCTTGTGGTGTTCTTTAATTAGTGGACTCCATGGTTGAGGATTTTCACAGTTTGCACCACCCCAAACCACTAAATAATCTTTGCAAAGACTAACTTTTCTCTTAGGAGTACTGCCTATAACATAACCATCCTTCCAAGAACCACCTTGACAGTAAATTTTACCATCACTGCACACAAATACAACACGTTGATCATTAATTATTCCTAAAAAAATTAGTTTTTACAAAAAAACTAGTAACACAATTTGAATATAGAACCTACCTGCATTAACAACTTCAGGATAAATTTTGGACACTATACTTCTGTCAAAGCTGATGTTTTCTATATCATTTGTTACAGAATTTACTGTAATTGTGACTACAATGCCACGTGAAAGAAGTAATTTTACTACATTATCCCATACAAACGTTACAACTTTATTTTGTGCCAAAAGATCCTAAAAAATAAGTGTACAGATTTTCATTTATGAAATGAACCATATCGTTACTTCATATTCCTTAAGTTTGTCTTTTAATTTGGTAGACTTTTTATTTGAAGCACTCCAGACATATCCACGTTGTTTACAGTATAAACTTTTACTGTCTAGGTAAACATTATCTTTATCCCTGTCTTTTTTAGAACAATATCTACAATTAAATATTGATTTAAATATTGGAGGTTATGAATAATAAAAGTATCTTATTTACATACTTAAAGGATCCGTAGTCTGATGATTTTATTAAAATTGTGCTTTTTGAACTCCAGAAATGGATTTCGTTTAGTAATGTCATATTTATTTTATTTCTTCATCATATTCATTTTGGGGTACGTAATTCAAAATCAAACTACGATTCAATCATGGATATGGCGTTCATTAATTTATATTTATTTATTAAATAAAGAGAAAACGATGCTCTCAAAAAAAACATTTATGATTTTAATTAGAAAATAATTATAGGCGTATAATAAATAAAATGTACAAATGTATGTTTACCGAAATACTACATTTGTGACATAAGTATTTATGGATATGAGCATACCTATAACCTATAAATATAAACCCGTAAATATATTTCTCAATGAATACTTTAAGTTCATAGATAACTTCTATATTTGAAAATTAACATAAGGTACATTCATTTTGCTAATCGAATGTCAGATGTACACGTTACCCATGTCATATTGTTCACTGTAAAAAATTGCAGCTACAAAAATTACTTTATAAAATACATACACCAAAAGCAATTTTGTAACTGTTCAAACTTGTATATGTAAATAAGACAATAAAATAACCAATTAAACACTTTTGAGTAACATTTATTTTAATAAAAAACACAAATTTAATTGAAAAATTACTATTCTATAATCACAATTTAAAAATCTGCTTAACATAAAGCTACTTATTATTTTGTTGAATAATTAATTTATTCTTCTGCCGAGTAACTTTGGCTTGGGGTTGAGTGTTAACAACTTGAAGCTGACGGGGAACAGTTTCTTGTCTGGCATATCGCGTAAATCTTGCGATAATTCCTTTGTCGATCTGTTTTCCCGGTCCTTGAGCAACTTGGAGCGCGAGGGCAGCTTGCTTTGACCTTTCAAACAACCTCGAGAATTTTCTTTCGTTGCCATCTTCGTTGGTAAAATGTCTCATCATAAGATGTAGTTTGTCTTCGTGTTGTTGTCTTACTTGTTGAAGAGTTTGTGTTAAATTTTGAACTCGACAAGTCAGCGAATCGTTTTGGGCTTCCATTTCGTTTAATTGAACTTCCAGTTTTTTGCTACTAAAGCGTAAGTCAACCACTTTCTCAAAATATTGATGGAGTAAAGATCTCATTTCGTTGTCATTTAACTTAAGCAAACGTTCTATCATCATTTTCTCAGCATACTCCTCGTATTTTGGAGATGGCTTTGAAGTTAAAGTTGCACAGCCACACATAATTTGGTTTTTGTATTCAATAGCGAAATCAATTGCACCTATGGCTTCTTCATATTGCAACAATTTACGTTCCTCATCTTCTGATAGAATACGTTTATTCATTTTTGTATCAATATTACAAAGACGTTCCACTAAATAATCACGAGTACGTCTTAAGTTTCTTATTTCGTGCCGGAGATTATCGAGATTACTGTTTGTTGAGTATTCAGATTGTGATTTACAACTTGAAGACAAACTCTCATATTTAGTAAGACATAAATCCTGAGATGTAATTAACTCTTTGTTAGTGTCATCAAGATTGTCAGATCTTTTAACTGAGTCAATTTGATTGCTATGTTTAGTGCAAATTTCTTTTTGTTTAGATTTATTAACATGTTTCCTTAAACTGCTTGGGTTACCTTCAATTTCAAATATTTTACTTTTTTCTGCAGTTTTTAATTTCTCTTGATTAGTTTTGGTTTGTGGAGTGAGCGTTTTTGTATCCATAACATGAGAGTTATGCTTTGTTTTTCGTAATTGTTCCACTTTGCCTTTTGATTTATTTTTAGAATTTTTGCTTTTAAATACATCTTGTATGAATTTTCCTTTTTTTTGTGAGTTATTATCTACTTTTTCTATTTGCTTTTCACATTCTTCAGTGCTAGTGCAAAAATCCTTTAATCCAAAATTATCTGATTCTGAATTTGAATTCTCTAAATCACAGTTGTCTTCTATATGAGAAGTANTAATAGAAGGAATTGTTATGTTGTTTTTTAACTTTGTTTTGTTTATGCCTAAATACAATAAATGTTTTTGACTCACTTTTCTATATGAACTACCCCTTATTTCTTTATAGCAATAAAACGATTGAGTACAATAGAAGCTTATAATAAATAATTTTAATGAATATCACAATTATTTAACTGACTGGTAATTTTCTATTTAAGTTTAAAAAATGGAAAATAAAGTCAAGATATGGACGAAGAAAGAAAGCGCCTGTTTTATATTCCTGGAGATTTTACTCCTGCGCGGTATCAACATCATTCTCGTGAACTATTACTTCAACAATATTTAAACCCAAAGTATGAAGAACGTAAACGAGCGGGCTTCCCGACTTTAGCGGACGGTTTTTCCAAAGAACCAGACAAAAGTAATATTTACGAATACAAACCTGTTGATGAAGTTGATTTGGATAAAGACAAGGATATGTGGAGCGAAAAGTGTCATTATAAAAGTATTTACATCCCAAAAAAAACAGAATGTGTATGTAATCCTAAAGAAACTAAAAAAGAGCGCAATATGTGTAGCAAACTGAAGCGCATACCTTCAACAGTTATTAATGCAATGAAAAATTTTGAACTGGCTAAGAGACTGCATAAGGAAAATTTAGAGCATCATCCATTACCGGAAGTAATCACAGACGCCATGTATCAGAAATTGCAATATCAACGTGCTAAGGAGCCAGGCCTTGCTCTTAAAGATGAAAAGTTTGCATCAGCAGTTGCTTGGAAAGAATATGGAGGATATGCACCAACAAGATGCTCCAAACTTAAAATTTATAGACCAAAAACAGGCGTTGAGAAACGAGTTATAGAAAACATCAATGAAGGACCCTGCAGTGTAAGCAGTTTTGATAAAAGATGGAGATTTATACGCAAAACAAAAGTGACGCCTATGGATCTTGCCATTTGTTGGGACATGCTACCTGTTAATCCTTGGGATGAACCCAAAAGGGACATGCACATAGATGGGTCTAATGGTTCGTCAGCTCCCGCTGTATTTCAGTTAGTACAGAATCCTCAATACAAACCTTCTAGATCAACTAACAATAAAGGACTTTGTTGCCAAGAAAGAAGACCATATACAGCAATTGTCCCTTCTGCTAAAGTTCAGGAAGATGTTCCGCGGGTCCATAGTGCATATTATGAACGTGAAGAACGAAGGTACCAAAGTTGTCCTTGTCTTGGTAAGTGCCAAGGTGAGACGTACGTCGATTTTATTGGGCAACGAAATGCTTATCATCGTAGTCGTAGGTGTGGGGCATGCCAACTCAAAAATCTAAGAAAAGGAGAAAAAAAACAATCGGAGTATAAAATGGCTTTTAAAGCTGGAGTTCCCAATAACCACAGACCCAACACTGCCAAATTAATTGCTGCAAGAGAACATTACAAACCTTCGAAGCCAAAAGATCCTTACAAAAATAAAACTTATGCAATAGAAACGCTTAATCATCCTTTTGCTTTTCAGAAAACTATTAAAAGACGCGACTATCCTGAACAATCGAGATTAATGACCATTTATCAACAGTCTTACAAATCTTTTAAATAAGTCTACGATTGTATTTTCATGTGTACATATGAGAAAATATTAGAAAAAAAATATAACGTATTTAAATTGTTGAGAATATCAAGCATATATGCAATCTAATTTCTTGAAAGGGGTTGTACGGAGAAAAATTAAAGACATAAGTAACTTAAGTTTATTTATCAGAAAAGCAAAACCATATTCAAATCAAGTTTTATTAATTACTTTAGTAAATAAGGAATTCTGTTTGCTCAATAATAATGTCTTTCAAGAAAAGTATTTATGTATGTTGAACTTATCAAAACAATCCAAACTATATAAAAAAGTCAAGTCTCACTCAACGATTTTCTCAAATCATCCCTGTCTTTTAGCCATGTGGATAGTGACACGATATTTTTAAATTTTGTGCACTTTCACTTGATACCACTTACGACCATGTAATATATATCTATACGCGATATTCGTGATATGATCGTCTGCAATAACTTCCTTTCGTGCAAAAATTTCACGAAAACACATATAGGCACTTAATGGTCGAAATGTGCATTTGTATTATTAAATAATTTGTTTTTTTTTGTGGTACATGTACCTGCGATTTACGCAAACATTACTTCCAAATGCTGTTAGATATAACATATTCATAAATATTATATTCAAATAATTTCATAGTTTAACAGATATTTATTGATTTTATAGTAGTTAAACTGGGTCAGTGTTTATGACTTCTTTGTAAAATCAATTTTTATGATTTCCTCGTGTCTTTAGTACAACTTTTTGCTTATCAATTATTTTTAATATTTTTTTTCTTGAATTCTTTTTGC